CTAGGAATGACGGCGCCTATGGTTCTTAACTTCTTTGTGATGCCAAAATTTATACTAACTACACAATCTTGGCAGAATACGACATGAGAAATAGAAAGCGATAGAGTACCTTTTGCAACAATGCAGAGTAATAATTTGTTAGTATTATTAAAGTAAAGTAGAGCTTTTGTAACAATTTTTCAACGTTCAAAACAAACCGGATTTTTGTAGCCGTCCGCTGCGGCATTCAAAAGGTACTCCAGACCGTTTCGCCACTGAAAGATATACGGGATTGCTGTAATATTGAGTTTTTTTTCAGTTTTACATTCGATTCCAGCTCATAGCTCTCGATACCAAAAGATCGCCGTCACCAAATTCTGATGTCGTAGAACAAAAAATTCTACAGGAAATATGTCCACACCTCCCTCGAAAATTTTTTGCAAAAATTTCCAGGTTGCTTCTTGAAATGCCTATCTTCGGAGGCCTGTAATTTAGTTGTACCACATTAAAACTCCGAAATTTTTAGCTCGTTGGATTTGCCATTCCTCTTCTAGATATAATTTAAAAAGACGCGTCTTTCAACTTTGTAAAAAAACACGTTTTGTGTAGAATTTTTTGCTCTGTAACAAATCGTAAATTGATAATGGCAATTTTTTTGGATTTTGGAGTCGCAGGCCGGAAGAGACGCTGAGACCAAAAAAAACCCCACTTCCTGCAGTAATCCGGCGGATTTTCTGGTGGCAAAGCCATTTTGAACTGCTTCTGAAAGCCATGAAGAGTGCTAGGAGAAATCATTACGTTTTAATCGTTGAGAATCTGTTACAAAACTTGTATTTCAAAATATTGATAATTTATTATTTTGCAGCACTTGTAAAAAGTAGCCTTCATTCCAGTGTTTTCTGCTTGTCGTCTTCCATTCTGTCAAGATTATGCAGCTAGTGTACAATACCAAGACATCTAAGAACCCGCACCCCAAGGAACTTAGTCTTTTTCACAAGCACAATGCATAAACTTATAACTCTCTTTCTTTGCTAACTTCTCATACTGGAATAAAACCCATCCAGTTAAATGCACTCTTTGCCCACAAAATTATTTAATCAATTTTGCGCTACATAAAGCACTACTGGTGTCTCTGTTTTGTAAGTCAGATTGTGCCCCACTGACCTTCACAGCTAACCGCAGTATGTATAGACATAATCATTTTTAATTTGGTGTGAAAATTTTTGCTGGCAAAACTGCCTTTTTCCGGAGAAGCCCGACAATTTTAGCCCAATGCCGCTGTGTTATAAAAAACACCTGGAGATTATCCAACCGACCTCTCTGAAGGTGTGCTAAACTTCTGTGTCACAGGTTTGAATGATATGTTATTAATAACACGCTGTTTACGCTGTTTATCGATGTTTTACCTCTTTGTCTTCCAGGTTTTTTTCTTTTTGGCTTTTTCTCTTTTTTTTTCTTCTTCTCTTTTTTCGCTGAGTTTTTACGAAAATGTGACAAGATTTTCATTATGAATACACATCTTTTGACATGTTATTGTTATAACTCTGCTCGTTTCGCGGGGACATCTGCTGTTTTTTTTTAAATGATCTTCTTGAAGAGAAGTTCAAAAACCTGTAAAAACTGAAGGTACAGGTAGATGAAAAAATACAGTTTTAAATAAGGAACTCAAGAAATTCAACTCTCTATCGAACGGAAAAACACTAGAAACTAATGGCGAAAGAACAATGACGGATGAGAATCAGCATTTGTTATTTTTAATATTCTCGATAAAGAAATAGTCCACTTTTGTTCTGAAATTTAGGCAAAGACGTAGAGGTATCTCATGAACATAGGAGAGCCCACTGCGAGTCCTTCTTTTTGTATTTCATAGGGGATACGGCAAAATCCCTTGCTGTCTGCTAAGAAAAACGCTCGCTTAGACCTAACCTAAGGCCTTCTTGACTAACTTGTCCTAGGGATTCTGAATCTCTTTTGGCGTCATTTTGCTCTTCATATTTGTGGCTAGACAGCAGTTGTTAAATTTTGCTGGAATCTAATGCTCTTGATGAGTTACTTGCTAGAACGCGAATCAAAGGTTAATACTTCTTTCCTTTGTAAATTTTTTTACACAGCACCAAAAACGCAAAAATTCAGCAAGCAGCACGTAGCCACAACTGCGGCAAGCACAATAATAGCAAATTTCTTCTCAAATATTTGATCTATATCAAATATTACGCAAAAAAATTAGTTATCATACGAAAAAGCAACCTATCTGCATTTACAAATAGCAAGTTTTCAAAAAAAAAAAAAAAA